TGTCCTTCAGGGAATTCCATACTCGTCTTATAGCAGAACTAATCATCTTTCCACCCAAGTAGCCTTCCCTGCTATTTTGTACCTCGGTAGATGACGCTGGTTGTTCCCACTGGAGGCGGTGGTATGGGTTTGACTGCTGCTCAGTCATAGGCCACCTTCATATATAGTCACCCGAGTGCTTATCTCTCAGAAAATATTTCATACTTCTCTCCATTCTTGCCGTTGTATTCTTGGCTTGGTCTCTATTCTCTCTCCTTTGTAATATAGCAGCAGGATTTTCATTGAACATTACCCCATCAATCCGTTCAAGACCTAATCAATAAAAGGACTGAAATATCTAACATCAAGCAAACAAAAAAAAAATGAGCAAATTTTATCAAGTCACTTCTAGTTTCATACAACTCCTCAAATGATTTCTATTTCCCCAGTAAGAGTATTGAGTACCATAATATAGTTCATACGGTGCCCTTTGCTTAGCTCTCAAACTATCTAAAGCCCCTTCCTCAGCTTCTCAGCCTCATGAATTTCTCCCCTAAAGTCTGTTAGTCTATGTGCAGTGAAGTGTCCTTTATTGCTCTTTAAAAGTACTAACACTTTTTTTTTTTTTTGGTCTTTTTGAGACAGGTCTCCCTGTGGCCCCAGCTGTCCTAGAACTCACTATGTAGACCAGGCTGGTTTGAACTCACAGAGTTCCACCTGCCTCTGCCTCCCAAGTGCTGACTACAGGTGTGCACCACCACACCCAACAATTTTTTTTTAAGAGAGGGTTTCCCTGCAGCCTAGCTGCCCTAGAACTCACTATATAGACAAGACTGGTCTTGAAGTCACAGAGCTTCACCTACCTCTGCCTCTGCCTCTGCCTCTCATGTGCTGGGATTAAAGGAAAGCCTTCTCAGTGGAAGGGAACTCATGTGTGGCACTGTAAACATCACCAAAGACATATGGCTAGAGAGAGAAGTCATAGGTCCTAGAGAAAACACTATATCTGTCACATCCATAGACAAGTATAATTTATTGCTGTATGCTATATGTCTTTACATTTATAGATATCTATACCAGTATAGATAGCTATACTCATCAAAGAAGCTTCTTTTTGTAACAGATGGAGATTGTTAGGTTCAGGGACCATTTTGGAAGCAGCTGAAAGACTGTAAGAGCCAGGTGTAGTACAAGAGCATAAGGAAACTGTCCTCAGACCAGGCTTCTGGGAATTTTCTCATATGAACTTACTGCAATGGTCACAGCGAATACATGAACCGTATTAACTCAATCGGACAAAAGTCATCATAAAGCTGGAGAAATGGGCAGGAGGCCTCAACCTTAGCTGAGAAACTATTGGTGGCTGGTCACTGCTGGCTGTGGGAGATTCAATCGTCTTTAAGGAAGTGATGCTAGACAGGCTGACCAAGCTCCAGTCGATTAACTCACACTGAGGGACATCTGGGCATACAAACTTGACCTACTAAGCTTTAACATAAATGACAGAATGCATGAAACCCTATGGTGGAATAAGAGGTGTTCAAATAGAGGAGGGGTCTAATATGATTATGATCTACTATGTGAAATGCACAAAAGGTCAATAAAAATATACATTGAGATGGGAAAAGAAATACTGACACTTTCATTCTTCCTCTGAATCTTTGAACCAAGTCTTTCCCCTGCCTATACAGTTCTTGCTCAACTTTCTTCACCTAAGCAATTCCTGCCCCATCTAAAAGTATCACCTAGCCAGAACTTTTCAAGGAAGCTGTCCCCATCCTTCAGTTGGGGCTTCCCTTTGCATCTATACTACTTTTGCCTCCCCATAACTTCAATGAAATCACTGAACCATCATTTCCTCATTCTAACTATTTATTGGTGCTTATTTATTATCCATAGTGAGGGGTTTCATAAGGTCGTTTCCATGCAGAAATATCATCATGTACTTTGATATTCACCCTGCCCCTCCTTCTCCCTCCTCCAGCTTTCATTATCCCAGGCCTTTTCTACTTTCATGTCATACATACATATTTGTGTACATATATGTAGATAAATGGTTTCATATGTCTATATAAAATATAGGATATGCAAATAAGAAGAAACAGGTAGTGTTTGTCCTTCTGATTCTGACTTACTTTGCATAATATGATGACCACAGGGTACCCCTTTTTTTCTGTATTGCTTGCTATTCACTTTGGGGGCCATTTTATGTTGTTGTACAAATGGGGTTTAAGAAGTCTCAGTTAAGCTGGGGATAGGTACAACTTTTGAGTTGAGGTTCCAGGGATGACTCCTCACAGTCCTAGAACTGCAGAGTGGACTAGGGGGTTGCTACATGAACAAGTTGGCTGATAATTCAGGCTGAGTGAGCTCACAAGTCCTGGGGCCCAAGAATCAGAGTAACCCTAGCAAGTTTGAGAGCTGATATGCCAGAGTGTGGGAGTTGTGGGAATGGGAGCTCACCATAACAGTTCCTGCAAAGCCCCCAGGGGTGTACAAGGGTCCTGGCAGAGCTGAGATGGAAGAGTTCAGGGAGGTCATGAGTAGCAATTTTAAATAAAGCAGTTAGGGAATAAATTTTACGGTATCATTTGACCAAGAAACTCAAGGCAAGGAAAAATGAACCCTGCAGGGGGCAGGATCTTTCAGGCAGAGAGGACTAGGGAGACTGTGCGTTGTGACAAACAGCAGGAGGCTAGAATAACTGGGTGGAACTGAACTGCAAGGAGAGTAATAACAGTTAGGGGGACATCATGGAGCAGCTTGTAGGACAATAGGAACTTGAGTTTTATTCCAAGTGCACAAGAAACAACTGAAAAGTTTTATGCAAAAAATGCCCCATGGGAGCTAGCGTTAGTTCTTTGAATATTTACAGTAACAAAGCACTCTGGAATAGTATTTGGAGATTTTTAAGTGAACACATGTGAATGAATGGAATTTACAAGCACTAATACTATAAAGTCGCCAATAAATTTACAGGTAGGTAACTTAATATCAGGAAATCTGATTATTTTACCAAACAAGATACAGAAAATATGTGGCTGGTAGAAATGGGAAACTCTAAACTTTGCCTCCCTCCTTCGTTTATATTTAAAAGGATGAAGAAAAGAATAGGTTTCTTGGGTTCATCTCTTCAGACAGCTCCTGGAATACCATGAAAGGGATGAAGAATAACTCATGATACCTTTGAGCTTTCCTTCTCACATTAGAAAGATATGTTTCTTACTAGTTTCCAAGTAAAGTATGATAATTTTCAAGGAAAACACTGTATATTGTCTTTGTATTTCTATGGCAATGCCACAGAGGCTGGCTACTCAGACCATGTGCTGTGAATGCCAAAATTCACTGAGTTATGTGTAGCTCATCACCTCTTATTCCTTCCTAACATGGTCACCAAATTACTCACACCTCTATCAAGCATGTCTGAGCTTGTTTTGTGCAAAGTAGCATGCTGTTCAAGGATGAATATGCTTTTCATAGGGCTGCATCTCAGTAGGATGCTAGACATGACTAAGCATAATGTACCATGTGAAAAAAGTTATAATGAAACTAACATGGTATTTAATATTTCATCAAATGTTTTTTTAAGTTATAAAAATAGGTGTTATAACAATAACTCACAATTACTACTTAAGGGTTATAAAAGTAGCTAGTATACATTATCTCATCTAATCCTGTTAATAATGCTATTGTTATCCTATGGGCTATAAAACATGCCCATGATTTTTGTTTCATATGAGGAAATTTGCTACAAGGAGGTTTAATAGTTTGCTTAAGACCAATCAGTTGGTCAATACTGAAGCTCAGGGTTAAACACTGGCAGTCTAGGCCCAGAGGCTGTGCATTCCACCACTTTTATAATTTTAAGAGACACTGACATAGCTTTAATTCTCACAGAAACATTAATAATCCAGGTTTTACTTTACCACTGTTTCTTCACCAGAGAAACTGACTCAAAAGGGTTCAGTAAATATATAAGGTCACTGTCAAACACAAGATGGATGGAGCCTTATTATCCTAAGTGTTGTCTCATTTCAGTAAAGCTCTTTCCTTTCACATACATTTTGTAAATATGAAAGATTTGGATGGACACAATAATCATGGTCTATCTGGTCAGGGATGGAGGTGAGAACTTAATTACAGAAGTGGCAGATCCAAATAGGATCACTTATCATATTTTAAACGTTACTAGAGTAGTATCTTTTGACATTTTGAGCTACTAAGATATTTCCAGATGAGCATTACTTATACAGAATGCACGTTCGCATTTTCCTTTGAGCTCTTACATACTGGATAGATCACGGCAATTGATTTCAGAGTTCTTCCTCGTCACTGCCAAGCCAAACACTCCCATGAGAACTGTGTTCAGATTCTCTTGGAAGCAGGATTTTTCTGGCATTTACCTGAGAATATAGCTAAATATTGAATAAATACAACTGTAACTGAAATATGCAAAAGGGGATTTTTATAAATTTACTGAAATACTTTATTAATAAAAATAGCAATAGAAATATTATTAGTATTAATGACATGTCCATGTCTGTTGGCAGTAAAGACTGACTGGCATATCTGATTTCCCAAGCCCTTCAGAGCACTATTTGAGAGGGATGCATCTGTTGCCCCGCACACAGAATAAGGAAGAAGACTGTACGAACAATAGCCTTGGGCAGAAAAAAATGGACAGGAGTGCTCAAAGCCATCATCCCTCACAGCCAGTGCACAGACTCCAGCAGCAGGCCCCCACTTTGAGGAATTCTCAGAATATAACCTGCTATAGATGTCTGTGTCCCAAAATTTCTAGTTGCGTGGGCTTGCTATGACAAAGGCAGTATCCAGAGATTAGAAGAGGGGACAACTTCAAATGTACACCTACGCCATAAGGATTGCAAAGAATCAGGGAAATGTGACAAAATGTGAACAAAATGTGACAAAATGTGAACAAAATGACAAAATGAGACAAAATGTGACAAAATGTGAACAAAATGGAGCTCTAATTATTGGTCTTTAAAAATGGTGATCTCTGGTCATTACCGAGGCTTTAAGAATACAGTTTCTCATTTGCTGTGGACATGACCATAAAAAACCACCACCACTAAGTTTGCGGGGTGCTGCTTTGCTAGCAATTGACCTTTTGGGAACATTTTATCACTGATGAGGATTTTTCAGAACCATGCTGCAGGCTTTGGGGGCATGGATCTATTGTACATATCAGTTGCTAATAAAGGCTGATAGCACAACTGGATTAAGAAATCCCTGCTTCTTTGAGAAAGGATTGTCTGCATTATCTTGAACTTCTGCACACTTGATGGACAGTGAAGGAAGTCACATGAAATATTCCTAAATAAAGATTTATTCACTTTACAATAAAAAAGAAAATGGAGATCTCAGCAAGTTCCAAGAAAACACAGAATAAGTAAAATACTTGTAGATATTATTGCCCGTCATCAAAGTACCTAAATATACAAAGCAAACATTTGACATATCTGAAGAGAGAATAAATATCAATACAATAATAGTGAGAGATTTTAATACACAAATGCTAGAAAAGATTGGTAATTTGGACAGGAAGCTATAAGAAAACAGCAAACATAACAATATAGTCAAAATAGACCCAGGAAATTTATCAAGAACACTATCCAATAGCATCAGAGTACACATTCTTCTCAGGTACACATAGAACATTCTTCAGAGTAAGTTGCAGAGCAGGTTAAAGAAAAACAAAAACAGAAACAAACAATGACCCCAAGTCTTTTGTTTGTTTGTTTTGTTCTTTTTGAGACAGAGTCTCCCTGCAGCTGCAGCTGGCCTGGAACTCACTAGGTAGAACAAAAATCCACCTGCTTCTGCCTTCCGAGTGCTGGGATTAAAGGCATGGGCCACCGTGCCGGTTTAAAAAAAAAAAAAAAAAGTCTTAATAAAGTGAAGAAAATTAAATCATTCCAAATATCTTTTCTGATCCAAATGGAATAAAACAAGAAGTCAATGAGAAAAGTGAAATTTACAAATATGTAAAAATTAAACTAAATCCACATACAAAGAACAATTGAGTCAACAGAGGTCTAAAATAATAGCCAGAAGCCAGAAAGTAGGTGTGGTGGCACACACCTTTAGTCCCAGCACTCAGGAGACACAGGCAGGTAAGTTTCTGAGTATGAAGCCAGCCTGGTCTACATACTGGGTTCCAGGGCCAAGGCTATTAAGTAAGTCCCTGCCTCAAAAAATAGGAAAACATGAGAAAATAGTATGAAAATCAGAATATACAACCTAACTATACAATTCAGCATTAGAAAATGTCCAAAGTTATCAGAAAGAGATAATAAAGCTTATAGCTGAAAATAAATTGACAGTTGGCTAGCTTAAGAGAAATGTGAGATAAGACTCAAAATTAGAAATGAAAGAACACATTACAGCCTATACAACAGAAAGAAAACCAGATCATAAGTGACTTTATGCTATCATAAATAATTAGATGTAAAAATTTGAATACCTAAGAAAATGACTAGAGTCTTAAACAATACAACCTACCAGTTCTCAGTCAACAAGAAGTAGAAGACCAGAACTAAAAATGAAAAGGCCCCCAACAAGGTAAGTCCCAGGACAGAATGACTTTATGGTTATATTCTATGACACATTTAAAGATGGATTATCAGTAATTTTTCCTAAACTCTAATGAAAAATAGACTAGAAATACTTCCAAGCTCATTTTACAGCATCAGTATTACCTTAATACAAAAGCTACAGAGACAGTATAAGAAAATTAGATCAATTTTCTTGATAAACATAAGTTAAAAAAAAAAAACCTCAAAAATATTCATGAATAACCTTCAATAGTATATTAAAAGGATAATACATAATGACCAAATAAGGTTTATTTCCAGAATATAGGTGTTTAACATAAACAAATCATTCAATTTTATTTGCCACATTAGTAGAATTAAGGCCAACAACCATGAAAACATTTTCAGTATCAACATCTTTTAATGATAAAACTCTCAGCAAGGTAGGTATATGTTCTAGTTTGGTTTCTGTTACCATAATAAAATACTGAACAAAAGCAACTTAGTGGAAGAAATGGTGTATTTGGTTTACAGGGTACAGTTCTTCATTTAGGGAAACTGAGGCAGGAACCTAGGGGTAGGAACTGAAGCAGAAACTGTGGAGGAATGCTGCATACTGGTTTGCTTTACCTGGTTAATGCTCATCCAGCATTGTTATAAAGCCCAGATCCATCTTCTCAAGGGTGAAACTGCCCACAGTATTCTCAGTCCTCAGCCAAAAAAAAAAAAATGCCCCACAGACATGTCCACATCTAATGGAAATTTCTCAGTTAAGATCCCTCTCTTATAGGTATATCTAAACTTATGTCAAATTGACAAAAGCTATAATAGTATAGAAATAACTTATTTAAAAATAATAAAGATCATATATGAAAAAAATCACAGCTAATACCATACTTAATGAAGAAAATTTCACAGATTTCCATCTAACTATAAATCAAGGTCGGGTGGTTTTATTTCACCCCTTCCATTCAACATTGTACTACCTCATATTGGTTATCCAGCTAGAGAATTAGGAAAGAAAAAAAATGAAGAGCATCGAAATTACAATGAAATAAGTAATATTTTCTGTTTTAAAGATTGCATTTCACATATAGAAAACTCCAAGGATTCTTTCAAAAAACTCTTAGAAATAACAAATTCAGTAAGTTACACAGTGTAAAATTAATGTGCAAAATATGAGGCTTTTCTACATATTAACAATAATTGATAAAACATGAATTAGTAAACAAATTCCAATATAATAACATAAACACACTTATTTATAAATTTAACAAGACAAAAATTACTAAAAACCATAAAGGATTGATGAAAGAAATTGAAAAGGTCACAAATAATGGAAAGGTATCCAATGTTCATGAATCTGAAGAATCAATTAATATTGCTTAAATATGACTACTACCTAATCTGCAGAATCCGTCTAATGAGTATCAAAAATCCAAAGACATTTTTCCTAGAAAGAGAAAATCTAAACATCCTCAAATTTGTATGTAAACACAGTTCCTAAATGCTATAACTGAATACTTAAAATTTATTAGGAAGTATGTCTTAAATATTTTTATCACGTGTGGGAACACACATACACAAACAGTGAAATGACAGCTATATTAATTGTCTTGATTAACGTAATGATATTATGTTGTATACAGATTTCAAAACACCATCTACACTTGAAACATTTTAAATATAATTCATCAATTATGCCTCAAGACGGTAGAAAAAAATAAAAATAGTTTGGTACTTGCCTAAGCAGACTTGTAGGTCACTAGTCCAGACTAGAAAGCCCAGAACTAAATTGATGCCCATATGTTCAGCTGTTCTTTGACAATATTACCAAATATAAACAGTAAAGAAAGAGTAGTATCTTAGTTTCTTTTATAGGTGTACTGATAAAATACTCAGAGAAAAACAACTTAGGGGACAAACGGTTCATTTTAGCTCAGGTTACAGTCCATCACTAAAGTCATAATGTCAAGATCTTAAGACAATTGGTCATACTGCATCCATAGTCAAGAAACAGAGAGCAGTGAATCTCTATGTATGCTAGTGCTATGCTCACTTTCTGCACTTTGACAGTTCTGGATCTCATGCCTAGGGAATAGTGCACCTATATTGGGCAGGTATTCCCACCTTAATTAAGGTAATCAAGACAATCCCTCACAGGCATGCTCAGAAGCCCACCTACGAGGCAATTCTAAATTCTGACAAATCGACAATTAACACTAACTATAACAGATGATCTCTTAAACAGCTACTTTTGTGGAAAATTGGAAATCTGCAAAATAATAGATCAAAATCTTATACCAGTCACAATAAATTTTAAATGAATTAATGTTGGACCAGAAACAGAAAAACTAGTAGAAAACATATGGGGAAAACTTCATGAAAATTATTTCTTATGCATTGACACCAAACCACAAGCAAAATAAATCAGGTATTAACTCATATAATCCAATAACCCCCAAAAGATATTAAAAACCAAAAAATATTAAAAACGGGCATTCCCTGAGACTCCCACTCTCTATACCAGCAGAATCTCTTGTCCCCTGAGACTCTGAATCTAGGTAGATTCCCCCAGAGCCCTTCCCTGAATCCTGGTTCATCTAAGCTGCCTGGAATTCATGACATGAAGGACCCATGGTTGGAGGGACCACTTGGCTCTAGGTAGACATTTCCAGAGCCCATTCCCAGGTCCATCATCCTGTATGCTTCAGAGATCTCTTGATTCCTGTCATATCAATTTCAGGCAGACAATCCCAGAACCCTCTCCCAGGCACTCTACCTTCTTGCTGCCAGGATCTCTTAGCTCTGACTGGACTGTAGGTAGGTTATTCCTAGAGCCACTTCCTTTCAGGCAGGAACTCGTAGAGCCTGAGTCCCGCCTCCATATCAACCATGCCACCCACCACGCTGCCCAGGGACTAAAAGACATCCTATAACCTCAACCCAAGGTACAGACCTCCAGAATGGTCTCCACTCCACCAACCTCTTCCTGAGGTCAGTGTGCCTTCCTTTACCAAACCTCCACAGAACAATGCTCATTTCCACTGTGATCCCAGGACCTGACAACCAAGGATCATCTGTAGGACTAGATGAGCCTTTCACAGAGTCTCAAGATCAACAGTAATTCTACAAAAGGACTTCTGGTCTCAGAAACACCAAGATCCCTAGCTGTGCTAAGAACATGTCTGACCTGACCATTCATACAATAACACAGAGTTGCCCCAAGAGTGAATTCAAAGCATCAATCAGCTGGTCTATAAGTTGGGGTAATAGCAGACAAATATCCAAGCACCCTCCAACAAAAGTGAGACCAAATATCCAGCCATACTGACAAAGTGTGTCAGAAACACCACTGGCAAAATTCCAGATGCCTAGGTCCTATCACAAAACCACATAGAACATAAATAACCAAGAAAATAAGTGTCCTGGAAATTAGTGCTCTATGGCAATGTAACCTGACAAGAGCAACTTAGCTTATACATAAGACAATGATTTTAAAACAGCAATTGTAAAAAAGCTCAAAAATCTAAAGAAGATGTATAAATTCTGGAATGAAGACTGCAAAAGCATAGCATTAAATACA